TATATATTTAACTCTTCCTAGATAATCAATGTGCTCTATATATTTAGGTCAATCAAAAGATTAAAAATATAATTTATTCTTTTGTTGAACAATTTTTTACTTTTTATGCTATAATCATCATTCTAGGGATATGGGTTACTATGCTAAATAGAATAGATAGAATTCTATAGGACTTTTATACACCTCTAAATGTAAATATTCTCCTTAAAATTCCCCTCTCATAGAGAGAGATGTGTTTGATTTAAAGAAGGAAAAATAACCAATCATACAAATTATGTTGATAAAACAGAATAAGGTTCTCTGTTCTATATAAAACATTCTGAAGATGTAATAGGCACTTCAGTTTCCCTCTGTAATTCACCATTGTTTTAACTCTTCTTTTATTTAGCCTTCTAGACTTCTTCAGAAGTTGATACATAAAAGTAAAATTGAGTTAACTTTTTTTTTTTTAAGTTTAGCTTATTTTGTAGGTAGTGTTTTGAGTTTGTCACGTAGGACTTAGGTATTACACACCTATGAGAAATGTGTAAAGTCATTTCATTTTATTGTAGTGGATAAAGCAAAATCCCCAGGGGTTGACCCTAAGCAGCTGGCAGCGGAACTCCAGAAGGTTTCGCTACAGCAGTCACCACTTGTTCTGTCATCAGTCGTTGAAAAAGGATCGCATGTCCACTCGGGTCCTACATCAGCAGGATCCAGTTCTGTTCCCAGCCCTGGACAACCAGGGTCACCCTCAGTGAGCAAAAAGAAACACAGCAGCAGCAAGGTGAGAAGTGTTCAATGTGACTTCCACGTAATGTATTTTCTAGCTGTTTATTCAGACCAGGGGCTGGGGAGCAAAATACCACTTTATAAGATGTCTTTCTCATGATTTCTCATTTCCTTGTGATTTATTAAAAAAAAAAAAAAATCCTTCCAACTATAAAATTGATACACCAGATTATATATTAATATATCCCTCAAAATATTTCAGCAGGATGCTTGATATTTCTTGGTATTTTTCAGTGTTTTGGCTTGATGCTGGGCTTCTTTGTGTATAGAATACAAGCTTTGCATCTTTTTGGAAACAAGATATAAAATCCTTTTATGAAGAAATGAGAAAATGAAAAACTGTTAAATGCAAAGAAAGTTTAAGCATGATGAAGAACTATACAATTACACTTCACTAAAGTTGTTTTTTAAAAGTATAAAATGAGGATAGGAGAGTACGTTTGCCTGTGACAACAGGCAGATCTCTGATGACTTTTATAAAATAGCTTTGAGTGGCCTGGTGAGGGTGAAAACTTGAGAGCAGTAAGTGGAGGACTATATAATAAGCATCTAGATGGACTCAACCACTTCAGACTGTCTTTTAAGTGGAGCAGGGACAGAGATGGAGGAGTGGAGGCAGATCAAGATGGCTGTGGTGGGGTGGGATGGGGATTCAGTCCAAAGCCCAGGTGGAGAGATTAGTCTCAGAAGAGGGGATGGTTGCTTCCCCCTCTTTCCTTGATTCAAGAAAGAGAAAAGGCCAGCTTGGAGAGAACTTGCAGATCTGAAATTGTGTCAGGGAGGATTCCCCTTATTAGCCAATTAGACTTCCTCAGAGGGACATTTCTCTAGATTCTTCCCATCTTGCCTCTTCCCATTTCTCCTTTTTTTCCTTGGGAGATTACTACAGTAAGCATATATGTTATCAGATCTTTACTAATAAGTTAGCTAATGAGATGGCACAACCATGCTTGCTCAAAGCAACCAAGAATGAAGATCAAAGACTACAGTCTTCAGTATGCATTACACCTCAACATAAAGAAAGCAAAAATCCACACAACTGAACCAATAAGCAATACCATGACAACAAAAAAAAATGACAAACAGAGATACACAACAACGCAATGCACTGCCATCGAGTCGGATCTGACTCATAGCGACCCCTCCTTGGGTTTCTGAAGCAATATCACTATATGGAAGTAGATTGCCCAAACTTCCTTCCAAGGAGTGGCTAGTGGGTTTGAACTGCCAGCCTTCTGGTTAGCAGTCTGATGCCTTAGGCACTACTCCACCAGAGCTCCCTCCATAGAGATACTGCCTCGGAAACCCAAGGAGGGGTCGCTGTGAGTCAAAGCCACTCGGCAGCATTGAGTTTATTTTTTTCTTTTTTTGGTTCATATTCATGCAAAAGCTGGGCAATGAATAAAGAAGACTGAAGAAGAACCAATGCCTTTGGATTATGATATTGGCGAAGAATGTTGGATACAACCTGGACGGCCTGAAGAATAAACACATCTATCTTGGAAGAAGTACAGCCAGAGTACACCTTAGGAGCAAAGATGGAAAGACTTCATCTGGTGTACTTTGGACATATTATCAGGAGGGACCAGTCCCTGGAGAAAGACATTATGTTTGGTAAAATAGAGATGAACAAGATGGATTGACAGAGTTTGCAACAATGGTCTCAAACATAGTAACAATTGTGAGGAGAAGGCAGGACAGACAGTGCTTTGTTCTGTTGTACATAGGGTTGCTATGAGTTGGAACCAACTCCATAGCACTTAATAACAACAGCAACCGCTAATTATTTTATTTAATATGTCTCTTTTTTAACATTACTCTATTTTTTAATCTTATTCTATTTATTCTGGTGTCAAACTGACTCCATCTTTTCTGGTTGCATGAATTTTTTTTTTTTTTAAGTGTATAGCTAATTATTAATGTTAAAAGTTCACATAATTAATATTTAACATTACCTTTTATAATTTAAATAAAAGGTAAGAAGGATGCAGAAATAAAGAGAATTTAAGAAAATAAGAAACAAGAAAAATCAGTAACATAATGTCCCCATTTTCAAATTTTTCCCCAATTCCATACTAATAAATTTCATCTTTTGCAAATCTACCTTTGAAACTAATGTTTCCACCGCTATAATTTCAGTGTTTCTGGGGAATTAAAAGAGAACATCAAATTAATTTTTTAACTTCATAAAAGAATATGAAGATGCAAACAATTTGTAATATTTCCTTCTTGTATAGATTTCATTCTTAATAGAGAAACCATAATCCTGCTGATAAATACATTAGAAAATGTCCTCTTTGCTTAAACAGGAATAAAAGGTTTATCTTTATGTGGTAATATATAGACAGGACAATCCTTTCTTGAGTACAGTGCCTGGGCATCAGAAAACAAAGTGTTTCACTAATTATAGAAATATAGCAGATTTCACTAAAATTCCTTTTTATTCAGAAGTGAACAACAAAAGTAGGTTGATCTTAACCATTGCATCATAAAACAGCTTTTTTCAAGTCAAATATAGCACAACTTCACTCAGAGTAACTTCAAGGACATGTTAAACTGCAAATATTTTAAGGCAACTACATTTTATTACATGCAAATATGTGTTAATTTTAATGTGTTATGTATTGAGGTTCTATTTTAATAAATTTCTTAAGAATAATTTCTAATTAAGCCTCCTAAAATATCACCATAATTATATTTGCACACCCATGTTCATTGCAGCACTGTTCACCATAGCAAAGAGATGGAAACAACCTAAGTGCCAATTAATGGATGAATAGATAACCAAACTATGGTACATACATACAATGGAATATTGTGCAATACTAATGAATAATGAAGAAGTCACAAAACATCTCATAATGTAGATGAACTTGGAGGACGTTTTGTTGAGTGAAATAAATCAATCATAGAAGGACAGATACTATATGAGTCTACTATTGTAGTCAAGGAAAGGTTTACACATGGAAGGAAACGCTTTGTTAGTTACCAGGAATGTTGTTGTTGTTGTTGTTGTTTGCCGTCGAGTCGGCCCCGACTCATAGAGACCCCTCCTTGGGTTTCCGAGACAGAATCACTACGGAAGTAGGATTGCCCAACCTTCCTTCCGAGGAGTGGCATGGGATGTGCTATAAAAGTATCCACATATATAGTGGAGCTAATAGGGGGTAAAATTATGATAACTTCTTAGCTATAGTCAAACACTTTGAGGGAGTGAGTTGCTGGGAATGAGTCACTGGAGACATCAAGCTCAGTTGGTATAACATGCTACACAAAAATATTGTTCTACATCCTACTTTGGTGAGTAGTGACTGTGGTGTTAAAAGCTTGCAAGCAGCCATCTAAGATGCAACAGTAGGTCTCTATTCTTCTGGAACAAAAAAGAAGAAAGAAAATCAAAGACACATGAAACAATTAGACCACAGACTAGTGGACCATGAGAATCTCAGCCTACATGACTTTGAGACCAGAAGAAGAGATGGTGCCTGGATACTACTGTCAACCACTCAGAAAGGGATCAAAATAGGAGATCATGGATAGAGTGGGAAAAAATGTGGAACAAAACTCAAAATAATAATAATAATTAAAAAGACCAGTCTTATTGCTCTAACAGAGACTGGTGAAACTCCCAAGACTGTGGCCCCTAGTCACCCATCAGGCCTGGAATTGAACTCACTCCCATGGCTCCAGCCAAACAATAGACAGGGCTACAAGATGAACCAGGTAGGTACACTCCTTAGACCAGTCAGCCATAGAAGATCAGAAGGGCAGTATTTGCACAGGGACATAGCTCAGAGGACAGGAATGCACAGTAAGAGACACAAGGAAAAGGCAATCACAGGGGGAAGGTAGGATGAGAGCTGTTACATTGTTGGGATTGCAGTCAATGTCATGAAACAAAATATGTATGAACTTTTGAATGGAAAATTAATTTGCTCTGTAAACTTTCACCCAAATCAAAATTAAAAAAAAAAAAAAGGAACAGGAAACCAAGGAGAGAAAAATCACTGTAATTAATGTAGTTTCATGGTTTTTAGATATTTCCATGTTATATAAGTATAATTTTAAAATATTTGAAAACAATTTCTTCTTTTAGCCTGAGTCTTCTTTTAGCCTGAGTCTTCTTTTTTATAATGTGATTTTTTTATTTTTGTTGCTATAAAAATATAATGAACACAGTATTGGTCAATTCAACATTTTTCACATGTAAAATTTGATAAAACTGATTACATCAATCATGTTGCACCACCATCAACAATATCTGTTGCCTAAGTGCCCTTTTATTTCACTCTAAAATGCTTTCTGGCCAATCTCAGCCACTTTGGGACTTCAAACATCATTTATATACTTACTATTTAGTTAAGTATTTAGTACTTACTTTACTAAGTACTTACTACTTACTATTTCTGATTTTATTTTTAATTGAGACCTCTCTCCTGAGTTACAGACTGACATTTCTAATTGTTTTCTGAATATTTCTACCTGGCAGACCTAAAGACATGACAAACTCAGCATAGCAGATTTTCCAACCAAGCCTTTATAGTTCTTCAACAAGTCTTTCATCTTGATCTGATTTAAGCAAATGGCATTATCATCCTTACAGGAAATTGAGAATAAATTTAGCAGCATCATTAAGAACATTTTCTTTTCATTCATATTAACTAATCAGTCACTGAATCTTAATTGAATGAATACTAATTTTCTAGTAAGTCTTAAATAATTTTCAATGTCCTCTGGCTTGCTACTTTCCTTTAGAAAAGCATTATTTCTTCCTGATGTTATTGTACTTACTACTGGTAATTCCACTCACCAGTCTCTCTTCTTCCCTCTTAATCTCCCCTCCAACTACCTTGTCTGAGACACGATGATCTGATTGTATCACTATCCTCTTTAAAAGATATCCCTGCTATTTAGAATGTCTGCTGCCTCCCACGGCCCTATCCTACACATTCTAAATGGGCTTGGTTGATGCCAACTCATCCCTACTTAACACATTTTGTTAATTTCAGGGGCCAAGTCTGGTACCCAAGTTACAAAGATGGATAAAATTTCTTATTTACATATCATGTAGATTGGTGGTCCCACTCCAACAGCATCAGCAACATCTGCGAACGTATTAGAAATGCACATTTTCAATTTGCAGTGCCATCAAGTGGATTCTGACTCATAATGACCATATGGGATAGAGTAGAACTTCCCCATAGCGTTTCCAAAGCTGTAAAGCAGGCTGCCTCATCATTCTCCCATGGAGCAGCTGGTGGATTTGAACCATTGACACTGGCTTAGCAGCCAAATGCCTTAACCAGAGCTCCTTAACCTCACCCCAGTCCTACTGAATCAGAAACTCTGGGATTAGGCTCTAGCAATCTGTGTTTTAACAAGCTCTCCAAGTAAGTGTGATGCACCTTGATTGTACAGTTTTGCACTCCTACATCATAGTGCCTAAGGCATCTGACTGCTAACCAGAAGGCTGGTGGTTCAAACCCACCAGCCACTCCTCAGAAGGAAGATTAAGCAATCTACTTCCATAGAGATACTGCCTTGGAAAACCAAGGAGGGGTTGCTATGAGTCGAATCAACTCGATGGCAGTGAGCCTATATCAAATATAAAGGGAACTCTGGTGGCCTAGTGCCTAAGGCATTTGACTGCTAACCAGAAGGTTGGTGGTTCAAACTCACCAGCCAGTCCACAGAAGGAAGACTGGTCAATCTGCTTCCATAAAGATTCACTGCCTCAGAAACACAAAGGGAGTTGCTATGAGTCAGAATCAAGTCGACAGAATGAGTTTGGTTTTATATCAAATACAGGTATTTAAAACCTGTAAAGATTTAAATTCTTTAAACAAAAACTGTGCAGTTCCTTGAGTAAATGAAAATTATTACTGCTGGTATAAAATTATAGTTTCAAAACAGGCTTAGCAAAATGAAAAATAGATTTATATATCTATAAAATTATACATGTCTTGAGAAGTGTAAGTAAACACCATATTTGGAAGTCACCAAATGGATGAAATATGTTTGCCAGACAGTGTGCTCTGACCAAGTAGAAATTAATTTCAGAAAGGAGTTGAAACAATAGATCTGATGGAACTTTATCCATAGTATAATATATGTTTTTTTATTCTTTTTAATATTACAGAGTACTGATGCAACAAAGGTTGTCTCTCACCCAATTACAGGAGAAATTCAGGTATGAACATTTTAAAATATCATCATTATACCATCTTTTTTTGACTGGTTGTTCCTCTGGTCTACTAAAATGGTAAACACATAGAACCTGTCTACACTATCAGAACTAGTCTACAACACATGCAAACTATAAAAGATAATATTATTTTATAGAGTAATATTTTAATACAAATATATTTCTAATGAAATTATATACATTGAAATCTACTGACACTTTGGCAGTGTCAATTCATTCTGTGCCTCAGTCATAAATTATTCTTATTGAATACACATTAACGAGAGCAGATTCTCCTAAAAACTTGAAGGTTCCTCTTTGCTCCCTCTTTCCTTCCTCACTAATTGTACAACAGTCACTAACTGAATGCTTCACAGTTACTTTAGAGCTATGTTTTCATAACCACTTTGTAATTTATAAAATCAATTCAAGGGACATAACCAGAAAAAACATAATAAAAATAGAACAGATAACCTGTTTTTCTTTTTTAAAGTTCTCTGTTAGTGATTTTTGTTAGAATACTGTGCCTTAACATAAAATCTATTTCTTACAGTGGATCATAGCCAAAATATGTGTGAAAACGAAAAACTATGCATTAGATGACACAGAAAATACTTTAGGTAGATAAAATAATGTCCCATAAAAGGAAAGAATTAACATATATCATAATAATTTAAAGACAGTAATTTCTACATAAGGGAAAGAAACAGTACATCATCTTCAACCAAATCTAGATGAAATTTTCATGAAAGACTTCACAAAGGATAAGATGTTTGAACTAATTTGAGGATAAGCATACAGAAACACAAGATGTGTTCCTGGAAGAAGAAATGGTACCAGGAAAGTACTGCCAGCACAGAGACATAGATCAGCTTTGCTGCAGTGGAGTATTTCTGTGATGTAAATTGAGACTAAATTAAAAAGAACCACGAACACAAGCCTAGGGATGTTAGCCCCGCATGGTGAATTTCGTTATTGTTATCTTACTTATGTTTTTTCAAAACTTTATTCCAAATGAAACCTTAGGCAGGAACCCATGCTATATACGTGCTAACATTGAAGTTGTTTTGGTTAAGGAATGCTATGGACACTCCTTGTTCTCTCGGAAGTAATTCCTAGTAGCTCTAGGGATTCTCTAAAACGCTGCAGATTAAAATTTGAAAAGCACTCACTTTGGGCAGACTGTAAGCTTTCATTTCAATTGAAAAATTGGTTTGGTTGTCTCACCCGTTAAGTGGACTCTAACACTGGCAGAGAAAGAAGAGAATAAGGGAAAATGTGTCCTTACTTAAAAATTTGGAAGCTGTTTGAAATTGCAATGAAGTTAGCTATGGATTATTTCGTTTTATAGTTCTAGTATGCTATTGTAACATACAAATACTGTAGTTCTAAGCTTTTTCCATTTAACCTCTTCTTTTATGGCACTTTGCTTAATGTCTCACATTGCTTACATGATATTCAGAATGGCTCTGGGCTTTTTTGAATTGAGAAAGGCAATGGAAGATTTATTTTCTGCCAAGAAATGAAACAAGATTGAAAATAAGCTAAAATGAAGAATAATTTTTGTTAAATTTTAAATGAAAATTTGAGTCATCTAAATTACTATTCCATTTTTACTATAGAAATGGGAATCCATTTTGTATGAACTATAAAAAAAAATACTAGCATTTGTTTTTGTACTTAGGGTTTTCCCCCTTCCTTTCTGTTATTTGATAAATAAATATAGCATCAATGGAACTAAGGCTTATTTGAAATGATGCTAAAGAAACTTTCAATTTAGAAGGAGAAAAAATAATTTAATTATGTTGAATTGTGCAGGATTCTCCAAATATTTGCTTCCATTATAAATGTTTGACTATTAGATGACAATTGTGAAACCACCTTTGAGCATCTATGAGGCAATGTCTCTTCTTTCCCCTTCAGCTTCTAAAATTAAAGAACAATATTTTATTATCCAAAACTTTCACTCTATTAAAAAAACAGGCACAGAAAAAGAAGCTGTAGGTTTAACATAAAATGGTATAATGTAGACTGGGATAAAATGGATGCCTTCCTTAATGTTCTGACATTTCAGTATGGACCAGATTTATCCTTAAGTAACATTTTAAAACCACTGCTAATTCTTTGAAGAAATTCAAATGACATTTTCTGATGCATTTATCAATTAGTTGCCTAAGGCACTTGACTGCTAACCAGAAGGCTGGTGGTTCAAACCCACCAGCTAGCTACTCCTCAGAAGGAAGGTTGGGCAATCTACTTCTGTAGTGATACCGCCTCGGAAACCCAAGGTGGGATCGCTATGAGTCGAATCCTACTCCACGGCATATAACAACAACAACAACAATTTTCAAAGTCCTGGTAGTTATATTAATGAGCATTCACAACATTTACTATTTTATTAAGAGTAGAAATTTACTTCAAAATTATAACTATTAATCCCTGTCTTGTTTCCCTTCCAAATGAATTTCAGATAGGCTAGAACTTTCAACGTGAAAAGAATAAACAGTACATTTATTGAGAATTAAAAATGTGTCTGTGAGTTCCCAATTAGATTAGACATTAACTAGTCTGTTCAGTTTCAAGTAAAAAGGAAATGAGGGTTCATGATGCTTATGAGATTTTTTGTTTGTTTGTTTTTAAATAAGATACTGGCAAAATATTGGAAGGTAGTATATTACGTGTCAAAAAAAAAATTAACCGAATATGTTGCTGTCCCCTAAAGCTTCAAATCAACTATGATCTTGGAAATCTCATAATACATATTCTCCAAGCAAGAAACCTTGTCCCTCGAGACAACAATGGTTATTCTGACCCTTTTGTTAAAGTGTACCTTCTTCCAGGGCGAGGGTAAGTAAAGGAGCAATGTCTTCTAAGTATTTTAGACAATAGTCTTTTTCCTATGTGAGAAACAGCATTTCAGTTCTAGAAACTATGACAGTAATGGCTAATGGGAATGACTTTGGAATCATGTAAGGAATTATGTGTGGCAGATTTTTAAGATTTGGTTTACACTCTTACGTTTATTTAGGTGTGAAGCCTATGTTCAAAGGCCCATAAGTTACTGTATATTTTTATAGGACATGTATATTATTCAAAATATTAGTATTCCTTAAAAGGTTTCTATCCTTTGAAAATAACCATATTTTCAAATCAGTGTTTAAAACATAATAAAAAAATAAGTGCATTTTTGAAATGTTGACTTTGGTAAATAAATGAAAAATAGTTCCTTGAATCACCTGTGTGTAATATAAATTGTTTTATATGAAACAACTGCTCTTTGAAGATGTTTGTCACATAACGAATGCAAATTGTTGTGTTCTTGTATAGAAATCAATACTGAAGGACCATTTCAAAACAATTTCAGACCGTACAAATCATTTTACCTTGCTGAAACAATTTATAGTAGCTAAATTAGCACAGTGGGACCATAGTTAATCGATAAATGTAGATATCATTTTAAAAATTATGAGTTGGTAACTTGAAGAGTCTGATTTTTGTTCATTTTTATTTAATTTAGGAAATGACAATTGAATATTACATTTTAACTGGAAATTTTCAAATATAGTACAGAAGTAGAGAGAATAATATAATTACCCACCATGGACCCTTCACTTACCTTCAGTTATCACTATCTATTTCAGTTTTACCCTCACTCACTCCCCTTCTAGATTATTTTGAGGTAAATATCAGCTATTGTAGCATTTTTTGCAAATATTTTAGTATATAGTTTTAAAAGAGGCTGCAATTTTGGAATAATCATAATATAAACATACTAATTTCCAGAATTTTAAATAATTCCTTAAAATTCCAGTTGTCTCATATTTTTTTCTCTCGTTGGTTTGATGACCTAATTGGCATTTATAGAATGTTCTACCCACCAATAGCAAAATACTTATTCTTTTCAAATGAACATGGAATACTGACCAAGATAGACTATGTTCTGAGCCATAAAATAAATCTTAACGAATATAAAAGCATTGAAATCATATATAAAAAAAGTGTTCTCTGACTGTAGTTTGTCAGAAACAAAACAGAATGTATATGTTCCATTAATCTGCTGTTCACTAATTTGTAACCGCAGGCAGATCACCAACTTCTCTAACATTCAGTTTCCTCATTGATATTGAGAGTGCCAATGTAGCAGAGCCGTAATTTTTAGTTTGTCAGGGGAATAAAATTAGAGAACACTTAGAAAATAATTTGAAAATTGCAAGGTTCTATATCAAATTCACTACACAGCCTTTAATTTCATCTTGCCCAATTATTTTGTTTAGAAACACAATTGTTGATATTGTTGCGATAGTTTTATTCTATTGAAAGTTTTGGAAACCATTAATCATTTTATATGGAGATTACCAACAAGCCACATAGCTCAGGAAAGGAGAGTTTCTATTTTATTTTAATTAATTTATATCATTATACAGTTTTAGCTGTAATCTTGCTACATTTTTTTAAACTGACTATGAAACAATAAGTCAGTTTCACTCTGCCTTTGATTTGGGTCATTTGGCTGTCATTATTTAATGACTATGTAATAAGGAAAGAGGAAATCACTGCCAAGGATTTTGACTCCAGTTAGCATTTGTTAATGGATGAATGAAAATGAGATACTGTCATTTATTTTCTATCTTTTCTAATAATATTCTGGAGAGTCATCTTTCATAATATATGGGAACTCCTGTGCTTTATTAAGAAGAGCCTTGGTAGCCAATAGTTAAGCTCTCAGCTTCTAACCAGAAGGTTAGCGGTTCGAACCTACCAGTCAGTCTGTGGAAAAAAGATGTGGCAGTCTTCTTGCCTAAAGATTTACACCTTGGAAACTCTATGGGTCACTTCTACTCTATCCTGGGGTCGTTATGAGTCAAAATCAACTCAACAGCAGTAGGTTTGGGTTTTGAATCCTTCATTAACTACAAGATAACTTGAATAACTGAAAAGGCAAGCAGGTAACATTAACTTAGAAAGTAAGTGCCCTACCTAAAGCCATCCTTACACAATTTGTCAAATAAAACATGCCTGCTGTATAGGATTTGTCCCAAAGACAACCAATATACTACCCTTATTCAATTCCTAGCTTTTTCATTTAATTACTACTAATTATTACAGTGTGCCAGAATTTGGGGTTTATTTTACATGTGAGGTAATTATGTTTCTGTGAGTTGTAGGATTGTTTTATTAGCTCCTCTAAAATTAGAGGATAATAATATAACTTTATTATTATAGTTGATTAGCTCCTCTAATTATTATTCTTATATTTTCTTCCTTATTTCTGTTCCTAACGTTTTTCTTCCTGTGTTTTCTACTTTCCTGTTGTATCCTTCACTCTTGCTCTTGGAATCAATCCAGTCAAGTCATGGTTGTCCAGAATGCAAGGTAGAGTTGCTTATCTTTTAGTGTCAAGCTATACTGTTATGTCTAGAGTTCTACATTTTGTATTTTTATGTACATTCACTTGAACTTCAACTTGGATTGTAACTTTTATTTTTCAGTACCTATTGAATTAGGCTATTAAGTAAATTGGTCTAACCTCAGCATTACTAAATAAGTTTAGAAAGTATATGTAATAGAACATGGAAAAGTAGCAAACCTTAGACATGCAGAAAATATGAATAAGGAAATAATATCACCCTGAAATTAGACATGGTTAAAGTTTTCATTTATAATCTGTCCACTAAAACTCATTTAGCCTCTCATGTGATAATCATGGCTTAAGTTCTTCTAGGCCTTCTATTGCAGATAAAAACATCTAGAGTTATTTTTCAAAAGATGTAGGTGATCTTCTAGATGTCCACTACTAGGTGTGTAGCCCATCTTAAAGACAGTAGGTATCTGGTCTTTTTTCTTCACTTGGACCTTCCACTGAAGTATGCTGTGTCTTGTATCTCCTGCACCACAAAATTATTAGTCTGCATGTAAGTCGGCATACTCTGCCTGCTCTAGTGCATTGGCAGCAACCTGAGAGCACCCTCCTCTGTTTGAAAATACTGGGAGACTGTTCTCTGGTATAGCTCATAACATGTCCTATCACTGCGTTGTCAACTAAGGCAAGTTCTTAACACATAACCAAAAGCCCTCTTTTGCACATCTTTTATTTGCATTATAAGTCAAATGTGTTCTTTAGTTGAGGAGGTGAATCGGGTGCCATCTGTAGCAGTAGGGTGATGAGAATTTTAATCCCACCCAGAATATCAGTGATGCAGCATTTGTTTTTGTATGTGACATTAAAATTTGAAATCTTTACTAATCCTAACAAGCTGTTGCTCAAAAGAGGCCATTTCTAACTTTTAAAGGCATAAATATTTAAATATTTCAGTTAGTCACCACAGCCTTTCTAGTGGCCAGAAATTTCTCCTTTCCTCACAGCCATTTAATTACGGCAAGTAGTGTGACACTGTGATGGGTTCCTTGTTATGACTGGCTCTTTCATCGTGGGTCACCATCCATGTTGCTCAGACTGATATGAAAAATTACTTCTATTTCAAAGAGATAGTGTAATTTTATAACAGACATTATCAATCACGTTATTCCAAACCCTCTTTTTTTCTTTTCTTTATCCAGAGAAACTGGAGGGAAATTATCAGAATGATAGTGATTGCCTACATTTAACTTAGAAGAAAGCATGTTTGGTAAATTTGAATAATAGTTGAAAAAGTATGAGATATCTTGGATTATGATTTAGAAGATCTAAAAGTCACTTCCTCTTTTTATATCTTTAAGAATTGTCAGTGTGCAGGGAATTTCCATGACAAGGTGCTGACACTATCAAAACGTTGTAAATTAGGCTTTGGAAACCATAGAATGAAGTCGTTAAAGACTTGGGTTGGAATTTCAAACCTGCCACTTCACAAGTTACCAGATTTTTCTGGAACTGTTTCTTCTGCTGCTAAACAGGAATAATCCTATCCTCCTTCCCGCAGTTGTATGTGTGTGTGTGTGAAATAAATAGCATAATGTATTGAAAGCGATAAGCATGAAAGTTGTCCCATAATATGCTCTCAATAAATGGCAGCTGCTGTGTCTGGGCTGTAGAATTATACCAAATTATTTGACAACACCATAGGGAAAAATCAAAATACCTTTTCTTTAATAGAAAAATATTATACATCCTTTATTCTTAAAATAAAACAACACAAAAAGTCCTGCTCCCAATAAACTAATAAAATTTTACACTGGTCCAATTTTATTTTTTTTTCTTTTAGTTTCTTCTTCCCACCCTTTGATTAATATAGTCATAAACCCTAAACAGCAATGTCAAGCAAGATGAGGTACAAGAAAGACAAGGAAAAATCCTGAATAATCCATGAAGTCATGGATTATAATTGAGATGACAACAAATATATCTGAAGGATCTCTTTCTGGTTTTCTCTCACCATACCATTTGGCAAAGTGCAAATGTTTCCCTTTTAATAAGTATGAGATTTTGCTTTGATTGAACCTAGTTTTAGCCATCACAATACCTGGAGGCCTAATCTCTACTTTCCTTTCTTTCACACCCTTGTTAGAATATCAAATTATTTCTTCTAAGTCAAATATAAGTGGGTATTTATTTTAAATATAAAATTCAAAAATTATTTTATTTAATAGATTTTAAAGAAAAACAAAAAGGGCAAGCATGTGTTAAAATCCACTCAGCAAACATTTATTTAGCATAGACAATGGGCCAAAGACTATGCTAGGTGCTGGGGTTAGAACTGACAGCACAGCCACAGCCTTGGCCATCTAGGGGCATGGCGACCAATAAAAGAACAAACAATAAACACATCATTGCCCAGATAAATTAGTTTATAAAATGAGTTGTACCATAAGTATGTATGTATATATATAATAAGTCCAGTAAAGGAAAACTAAATAAAAGAATCAAGACCTTAAATGTTTTAGGTGATGCTATGAAAGTTTGATACAAGAAACTGATATATACTATTCCTTCTACAAATTTTTTGTTCAAGATTTTGTTTTCAAAATTGATCTATCTTGATATATATAATTAAATCTCATTCATTTTCACTATTATATACTAATTGAAATACATCATAATGTTCTTATTCATTCTCCTATTGTGTATACTATTGCAAACAATATTGCGGTTAGTGTTCTTGGACAAATTTCTTGTGCAGGTGGGAAATCTTCTCTAGAGTAGAAGTGGAATGAGTAGATAGGAGATTTTCTGGGTAGTTGGGCTCTGGTGGCATAGTGCCTAAGGCATTTGACTGCTAATCAGAAGGCTGGCAGTTCAAACTCACCAGCCATTCCTTGGAAGGAAGGTTGGGCAATCTACTTCCATAATGATACCCCCTCGGAAACCCAAAGAGGGGTCGCTATGAGTCAGATCCGACTTGACGGCAGTGACTTTGGTTGATGGTTTGGGTATATGAACTTGAACTTCACTGAACATTGAAAAATATTGACAAAAGATGTGTGTATACCTCATCATAAGTCTATGAGATTTCCTGTTTCTTTATATCATTGTGTATACATTTCTTTAAAATTAATGTTTGCAATTAATCTTAGATGATTAAATTGTCAAACCCTGCTTTTATTGTTGTACATTCAAGTGTATTGGTTAAAATTGAGAACAGTGCTGTTTAATTCTGTAAATTGAATTGAGTCAACAGTGATTCAAGTTTGAGATATTATGAGCTCAAACACAGTTAATCTTAGTCTTGGCTACGTATTAGATTTACCCTGTAGATTTTAAAAATTCCAATACTCAAATCTACTCCAGACCAATTAAATTGGACTCCTTTGAGACTGAGGATGCTTCATATCCCCAGGTGATCCCAACAGGCAATCAGTGAGAACTCCTGGTCTTGCACAGCATTCGTAGGACAGAGAATAAAGTTAGAGAAGAAAGCACTTGACTATAAGGCCATCTTTGAAAATGAGCAATGAACTGGACTTTGATTTTCAATAGTTTCATTTAGACTGGATGACAATGTTAGGCATTCCAGGAAGTGGCAACACTTGAGATCAGGAGCCTAGTAGAAATTAGTTCTCCCTTTAATTTGGAATAGAATGATAGATCACTAGGGCTAGGATTCAGTCACTTTTAGGCAAAGGCAACTTGTGAGGTCCAGAGCTCCAAACAAGCAAATTGTTGTTCAGGACTCCACTAGACCTAAAGTGTATTCTTGAACCTGATACATAAGTCTAATCAGAAAATCCATTAAAAGATAGCAAGACTTAGAGAAAGGTCTTGTCAGTGTGGCCACCATTGGTTAATAGCAGAAAGTGGTAATCTAATTCCAACCCTATCATTGATATTCTGCCAATCTTGATCAGGATAGGTTCTGGAAATAAATTGGCTTTAAAACACGATGGATTTAAACTTCTGACTTACTTGGAATAAAATAGTAATAAACTCAAATGGGCCAACATTTAATGAATGAGATAGGATTTTAGTTCAAGACACAAGAATTTATATTTAATTAAAAACATCTTACAGACAGATTAAGGAGCTCTGATGGTATAGGTTTAAAGCTTTCAACTGCTAACTGAAAGGTTGGCAGTTCGAACCCACCAGTCATTCCATGGGTGGGAGATGAGGCAGTCTGCTTCCGTAAAGATTTACAGCCTTGGAAACAGCTCTGGGGTGGCTGTGCTCTGTTCTAAGTGTTCACTATGAGTCACAATCAACTCAATGGCAGTGGATTGAGTTTGGGTTTAGAATAGGTAGATTAAATATCATACCTTACTAAGAGTGTCAGGATATGCTTTTAATATAAGGGAAATCTCAGCTATTGCTACAGGTATTCTCTGTCCTTTTTGTCAGACAGTACAACTATTGCATTTTTATATAGAGAAAATTGAGACACCTTCTAGCTTTGCTTACATAATTAGATGTTAAACTATTGAAAAGTAAATACCAAATTATTATTTGTGGGGCAAGAATACTATATGGTATTGATGTTACCATATAGTTCATGTAATTATCTCATGCATTCAGGAAAGAGTAACATTTCTAAAATGACAGTGTGGTTAGTAGAGCACTACAAGATTTTCTTTTAAAAGAAATAATGATAAGGTTAAAAAAAAACAAACTAAACTAAAGGCATCTGGCACATTTTTAAATTGTCTCTGACCAGTCAAATGAAAATAAGGTTTAAGACATAAGGATGAGGAGATGATTGTATAATTATTCGAAACAAAATGTCATCTTGGAAAGTCAGCATGACCTTCAAGTTGAATCTAAAGTCATTAGTTAAGGTGAATAATCAAGACAACTGTTCCTTCTTTTCTTCCAATTCAGTGCTGAGTACAAGAGAAGGACTAAATATGTTCAAAAAAGCCTTAATCCTGAGTGGAATCAAACAGTAATTTATAAAAGTATCTCCATGGAACAGGTATGTAATAATTACTGTCCATGCTAATATAAGAATAGTGCTGGCAAAATTATTGAATAATTGAACTCCATGTATCTTTTACCAAATTTATATATATATATGGCATCAAATATATGGAAGAAATGTATCCAGTGGAAGGCAACAGGTAGAGGTCAAAGAAAAATAAATAAAATAAGAATAGTGGAAAATTTGATTATTTCAGAGTTTCAAATACTTCAAATAGGTCCACATATAGTATAACCTTGGGAAAAATATTTTCCAACTGGCTATATTTTGGCTTTTATAAAGAACTCAAAGAAAAATTAAGAAATTTATTACAGTCATAGCAACATTTTAGGAATTCATTCTTCTCAAATTTGGGGCCTCCTAATAACCTAGCGTTGTGGGGTTAAACTGTGCAGAAGAAACTGGGCATAGAAACGACTCTCATAGTGGGTCACCACACAAACAGGTAACTCTAGGCATAGAAACGACTCTCATAGTGGGCCACCACCACAAACAGGTAACTCTAGGCATAGAAATGACTCTCATAGTGGGCCACCACCACAAACAGGTAACTCTAGGCATAGAAATGACTCCCATAGTGGGTCACCACCACAAACAGGTAACTGTAGGCATAGAAACGACTCTCATAGTGGGTCACTACCACAAACAGGTAACTCTAGGCAGGCGGCATTCATATGCTTCAGAAATTGAGTGTCATAACTTTATGAATAACAGAAAACAATTGACAGTTTAGAAGATTGAATACAGAAGGAAAAGAGTACAGACAGAACAATAAACTATAATCCAAGTAGTTTATCTAAATTACTCTAGATATTTTTATAATCTATGAATTTGATGTTATTTAAATATTATTTATAGATTCTTCTTTCTGTTTTTAAAAATGGATGGAGTGCATCAAGAGCAAAGTAAAGGTTACCAATTTTCTGACAAAATTGTGAAATCGGTTATGTTCAAACATTTGCTTGGATTACAAAAATCATTGAGCATTTATATAATATTTTATATAAACTCAAATAATTTTTTATAAAATTTTAAGTATTTTTTTTACATAAAAGGAAAACGTTAAAGGAAGTAAAAATGAATAGGTCTACTGCATGAATGTGGATTGTGGGTTGTGCCTAAGGCATTTGACTGCTATCCAGAAGGCTGGCAGTTCAAACCCACCAGCCACTCCTCAGAAGAAGGAAGGTTGGGCAATCTACTTCTGTAGCAATACTGCCTCTGAAACCCAAGGAGGTGTCATTGAGTCAGATCTGACTCGATGACAGAGTTTATTTATTTTTTTTTTGGTGCATGAATGTAATGAAAAGTTTATGGTGAAAAAATGAGGGTAATGACATTTTGATTTAAACTGTAGCTCAAGAAGAAAACATTGGAGGTGACAGTCTGGGATTACGATAGATTTTCCTCCAATGACTTCCTTGGTGAGGTGAGCATCTGGTTTTCTTTCCTTTACTGCCATTGCTGCCACTGCAAACCACTGCCTGCTAAAGCTCGAGGCACAGCATGTTTCTGAAGTTGATAAGATAACCATTTATGGGTAATATCCTTTGACTGATAGAATTTATTTTCTGATCTGCTCTTTGAATAGATGGGACAGCAACTCAGGAAATGGCTTTCACTCTGCCACTTTATGTGTAATTATGATGAATTTATAGGAAAAATATTAATTATTTTTAAAATAATATGATAATGGTGACATGAGTCCAAATGATTATGTTAAAGATTTTGGAAAAGTTTGGTGAAAACCATATTATAAAATGAGCTGAATTTTTAAAAATGTATTATTCAGGTTAATTAACTGCTATTAAGGATGCATGCTGAATGAATGATATGATATCTTATATTGTTATTTATGCTTAAGTACCCAAACAAAAATTTCTCAAGATATTTTAAGAAGCAAAACTAAAAGTCGAAGAAAAGAGTAGAAATTATTTTCATGTAAATTCACTAGAATCAAAATACCTAATCATGAAATCTGGTAGAGTTATCAGATCCTATGATTTTTTTTTTCATTTATTGTGTTTCAAAAACATACATTTTGTTTAGTTCTATTTATTTAGAGAATAATTTATGAATGAATGCTAAAAATATTACTATTATTATTATTATCTCTAAAATACAAAACCTAGAAAATATAATCTCATTTTGAAAGAGACTGTATTAAAATTGGTATAGTCTGAGGTGACCTGAGGATTTGTTTGGGACCTATACTTTATACCCCTTTTTTGTTCCTCAAACTAGATCATTTGAGTGTCACCTATAGGCTCAGTCCTGGTCCAGGCACTGAGACTAATGTTGATTATAGGCAGGACTACTGGAGGATGTAGGTTACATCTGACTTAATGTCTCAATTCAAAGTTTTTTAAATCCTTCTAATATTTAGTTTCCTTCTGTGTACATGAACCTAGAGCATATATCCATTGTGCTAGTTTTCACTTAATTTATGTTTTATTAGATCTAAGATGTCAGCAATTGTAAGATGCACCACTGGTTATGAACCTCTACGAAAGAAAAAATGCTACCAATTACATTTTCTTGTCATTAATTGTTAGTCATGTCCCTACTTCAGATGTAAATTAAAGTATGTTTCAAAACAGGAGAAAGAAATAGTAATTGAAAATAATTCTTCTTTATTTTTTCATTCTGTCCCTCTTACAAGTAAAACCAAACATTTTTCAAAGTTAGGGTTAGAATTATCCATATAACAAAAGAAACCTTTACTGTTTCATGGAGAGAGTTACTTGTGATCCTAACTTTTTACATCATCTAACAACTAAATTCATTAATATTCAAAAACAGTGTATACAGTTCAGTTTAACCAAAATTCTTATAAACATCTGATATACACAAGACACTATTCCCAATATGACGAATGATGAAAACATGAAGTCGAAAAACTCAGCATTTTCAGTTTATACTATGTACTTTGGTTGATATCCTTGAGTAAATTTTAGACCATAGGAAAAAAGTAATGAATAATAGCTTAATCCATGAACTCCATTAACGTATCTTGCGCTGTTTTTCAGGTATTGATTGATTTATCTAGCACATCTCACCTCGATAACACTCCTAGGTGGTATCCTCTCAAAGAACAGACTGAAAGCATTGATCATGGCAAGTCCCATTCCAGTCAGAGCACCCAGCAGTCCCCAAAGCCTTCCGTCATCAAAAGCAGAAGCCACGGTATCTTCCCTGACCCATCCAAGGGTAGGAGATATTTCAAGTAGAAAACGTTTTGTCTATTTATTCAATTAAGATCTTTTGTCTATTTAATGTGTTTTGAAATAGTAGACTATATTAGAAAATTTTAAATATAATACCATGCAAAATGATGGATATGGAATCAGAAGAAATGGGCTTTACCATATTTAGATATTTGACTTGGTGATCTCCACCTCTCAACTCTCCATTTTACAACTTGTGAAATGGAGGAGGTTGGGCTTAGGCTGTTTTTCAGCTCTCAAAGTCCACATTGTTGTTGTTGTTGTTGTTAGGTGCTGTCAAGTTGGCTCCAACTCATAGTAACTCTAGTACAACAGAACAAAGCACTGCCTGGTCCTGCGCCAGCCTCATAATCCTTGCTATGCCTGAGCCCATCGTTGCAGCCATTGTGTCAGTCCATCTCATTGAGGACCTTCCCCTTTTTTGCTGACCCTCCACTTTACCAAGCATGATAGCCTTCTCCAGGGAATGGTCCCTCAGACATCATGATCAAAGTAGGTGAGATGAAGTCTGGCCATTCTTGCTTCCAAGGAATATTCCAGCTGTACTTCTTCCAGGACAGATATGTTAGTTCTTTTGGCAGTCCATGGTACTTTCAGTATTCTTCACCAACACCAGAACTCAAAAGCATCAACTCTTCTTTGGTCTTCTTTATTCATTGTCCAGCTTTCACATGCATATGAGGCAATTGAAAATACTATGGTTTGGGTTATCACACCTTAGTCTTCAAAGAGACATCTTTGCTCTTAAGCATTCTGAAGAGGTCTTTTGCAGCAGATTTGCCCAATGCAGTACATTGTCTGATGTCTTGACTACTGCTTCCATTAGTGTTGATTGTGGAACTGAGTAATATGAAATCTTTGGCAACTTCAGTCTTTTCTCCATTTATCGTGATGCTGATTATTGGCCCAGTTTTGAGAATTTTCATTTTCTTTATGTTGAGGTTTAATCTATACTGCAGACTGTAGTCTTTAATCTTCGCCAATAAGTGCCTCTGGCACAGCATCCATTGATTGAAACATGTCTATGGGTATTTTGTCAATTCATGGAGTCTTGTTATTTGCCAATTCCTTCAGTGCAACTTCAATTTCTTCCTTTGATACCATTGATTTTGATCATACTCCACCTCCTAAAATAGATGAACAGTGACCAGTTCTTTTTGGTACAGTGAATCTGTGTATTTCTTCCATCTTCCTGCATCAACCAATATTTTGCCCATAGAATCTTTCGATATTGTAACTCAAGGCTTGAAGTTTTTCTTCAATTCTTGCATCCTGAATAATGCTGAGTGTGTTCTTCCCTTTTGGTTTTCTAACTCTAGCTTTTTGCACATTTCATTATAATAGTTGTCTTTGTCTTGTCAAGTTGCTCTTTGAAATCTTCTGTTCAGCTCTTTTATCTTGTCATTTCTTCCATTTCCTTTAGCTACTCTTTGTTCAAGACCAAGTTTCACATTTACCTGAGGTAGATACACTCTTTGAAGAGAGCAATCATGGGAGAAAGAAGGGCTGTTTATGCACAGGGAGACAGCTCAGGGGGCAGGAGTGCATGGAGGGATGAACACAGGGAAGAGGTAACTATTGGGAGAAAGTCGAAGGGGAGCTGTTGCATGGGGGTAAGTTGTAGTCAATGTCATGAGACAAAGTGTATGTGAACTGCTGTATGGAAAGTGAATTTGCTCTTTAAACTTTCACCTAAATAACAATAAAATAAGATAAAATAAAATAATACTAAAAAAAAAAAAAAGACCAAGTTTCAGAGTCTCTTCTGACATCCATTTTGCTCTTTTCTTCCTTTCCTCTCTTTTTAACAGCCTTTTGCTTTTTCAAACATCAAAAATCATGATGTTCTTGATGTCATCCTACAGTTTGTCTGATTTTCAGTCATTGGTGTTCAATGTGTCAAATCAATTATTTAGATAGTCTCTAAATTCAGGTGTGATGTAATCAAGGTTATATGTTGGCTCTCATGGACTTGTTTCATTGTCTTCAGCTTCAGCTTGAACTTGAATATAAGCAATTGATGGTCTGTTCCACAGTCAGCTCCTGACCTTGTTTTGGCTGAAGATATTGAGCTTCTCCATCGCTTCTTTCCACAGATGTTGTCGATCTGATTCCTGTGTATTCATTCCATCTGGTGAAGTCCACGTGTATAGCTGCCATTTATATTGTTGAAAAAGGGTATTTGAAATGAATAAGCTGTTGGTCTTACAAAATTCTCTTATGTTCTCTTCAATGTCATTTCTATCACCTAGGCCGTAGTTTCCAACTACCAGTGATTCTTCTTTCCTTGCAACTTTTGTGTTCCAATCACCGGTAATAATTTACAGATCTTAATTGCATGTTTGTTCAATTTCAAACTCTGGTAGTGTAGTTTGCTGCTAACTAAAAGGGTTGGTGGTTTGAACCCACCAGCTGTTCCATAGAAGAACAGTGAGGCAGTCTGCTTCCATAGAGATTTCCAGCTTTGGAAACCCTTTGATGTCACTGTGAGTTGTAGTTAACTTGATGACAGTGAGTTTTGAGTTCTTAACTCTTGTTGTTGTTGTTATGTGCCGTCGAGTCGGCCCCGACTCATAGCGACCCCTCCTTGGGTTTCCGAGGCAGTATCACTACAGAAGTAGGATTGCCCAACCTTCCTTCCGAGGAGTGGCTGGTGGGTTTGAACCGCCAGCCTTCTGGTTAGCAGTCAAGTGCTTTAGCCACTATGCTACCAGAGCTCCCAACTCAAGTTAATTCTGTGATTTTTAGCTACAATTATAAAAGTGATAATGAAATCATATATTTGATTTGACAGTACACCCAATGTTCCTATTTGAGCTTTTCCTTTGGGAGATTCATTCTTAACTATCCTACAGTACAACATTAATCCTCCTCCTAAACTGAGTTACTGTCTGTATGGGATAGCCATGTAGCATCTTACCAAGCTATACACAACTATATATTAAAATTAAATATAAAAGTTAGTATTTAATCTGATTATTACTTCCTAGGCTTTTATCAGAAAGTATATCAAAATGAAAAGTATTCTTTGTACATTAGAAGGGAAAGGATCATAAGTGATAAACCATTGACTATTATAAATGCTATAGATTATTTATGAATGGGTTTCATATATAATTTGTGGATTCTACTTAGCCATAAACAACCCTGTCCTGGTTTACATCCTGGAAGAATATAAGTATCAAGAGAATGCGAACTTTTATCTATGACTACCATGCTAGCAAATGTATGGGCTATACATTCTTTAAAATTACCTGAGAGGATGAATCTATAATCTCCATGTAAATATAACTATATTGTATTCATTGTAACATATTTGCATATATTTATGCATATTGTAGCAACTGACATGCCTACATTCAGAAATTCACTTTGTATTTAATTAAAACTCCTCTTGCAGCAGCTTAAGTCTATTTTCTCTTCCTTGGCCCCTACTAGAAGAATTAGCAGAGGTGCTCAGTGAAACCAGAAATTTATATATCCATTTACTTAAAGCTTTTTAGAATATATTCCTCTTTTCAAACTTATCTCTTCTCAAGACTATGGTCCTTTTACATTCCTCTCAGAACTTGTTTCCCAAATGTTTAATCCTATAAGGGATGGTGATCAGTACCATAAAAGACACAGAATTAGCGTAAATCTCAGACAGTTTCAAATTCTTTGTAGACGAGGCTTGACAGGAGGAAGGTTGAAAAAAACGTTGACTCTTATTTTATCCTTTTGTAATCAGACATGCAGGTTCCCACCATTGAGAAATCCCATAGTAGCCCTGGTAGCTCGAAATCATCGTCTGAAGGCCATCTCCGCTCTCATGGACCATCTCGCAGTCAAAGCAAAACCAGCGTCACTCAGACGCACCTGGAAGATGCAGGGGCCGCCATAGCCGCGGCTGAAGCCGCCGTGCAACAACTCCGCATTCAACCAAGTAAAAGACGCAAATAAATTCCTCAGCATGGCAGCTTAATGTTCATCTGTTGCCTTTCTTTCCTGCTGTCCTTCCCTGTTTGCTTTCTCTTTTTGCATCCTCTGCTCACTCTGTTCTCTGTCCTTTTGTCTGTGTAAAGAATATTAATACATAAATACGCTCCCTATTTAGATTTTTTTTTTTTTTTTTTTTACATAGATGGCAATAAAACTGGCTGTTTCTCCTTTGTTTCCACCATCCATCCAACCTGGCTCATAGTGTTTAGTAGTTGTGTCTGTGATGTTTGGAGGCAAAGCAATGTTGTGCATCCTTTCTGTTGAGCTTAAACATCCTTTAGAACGTAGAATTAGAAGCACAGTGGCTGCCAGTGTCCCAGGCATTACACCAAAGCAGCACACGTGAACATTAAGGGCAGATTAGCAAAGAGATTCTAGCATCTGAAGACACACAAAAATCTTAGGAAGATGATTAATACAATCCACAGTCAAGTTCTAGAACCTCGGGGGAAAAGCACTTTTGAACCTATGCGTAAAAACAATAATAAATAATGCATGTGAAGTGTTACAGCTTTCCATGTGCAAAACTTTTTAATCTTGAAAATCTGTGAAGAGAATCATGTTTCTTCTATTCTCAAAAAAAAACATATAATATTAATATATGTGTAACCATATGAGATAAGGGAATGTAACCTCATTAAGGAGCACAATTGGGTCCATTCTGATGGATCATACTTTGTATATGATAAAAGAGTATTTATAGGTTTGTTTCATTTTGTTTTGTTTTTATCCTAATCGTTGAAGATCCTTTGAAAGTCAAGATGTGCTGTCTGGTAGGTGTAAAACAATTAAAGCTAAGCAATCTCTCATTCTAACTGCTGTATTTTCATTTAATTTATAAAATTTGGTCACTTGATGTGTAAAATTTAATGAATGCAGAGATATCACAAACTAGGTGCACTGCTACTTCCAAGAGGCATAGCCAACAGTGAAATAGATACTGTTCTCTCCATCTCCTTAGTCATCATTTCCCAAGAAACAGCCAGTTTTAACCCCCTTTAGTGCTGTGCATGTGGTGTCCTTTTGGCATTTGAAAACACAACTTCTTTAACTAGAGCAAAAGAACACTTCTGTTTGCATGATTACCATTGAAGCTGATTCCATCTGAGGATACATACTCTGGGTTTCCATTTCACCCACACTGCCACAGCAGCACATAAAAGCGGTCAGTCTAATCATGCCAGGAAGCAGCACAGACACAGCATAGCAGGAGTCCTCCCCATTCAAAGAACTCAGTCTGATAATCTGCCTCCACCAGCCAATGGCAACCAAGACCAAAGCCAGCTAGCCCTCAGGAAGGTGATGTCTGATGGACCAGTCAAGCCAGAAGGAGGTGAGCAGAAAGGCGCTATTCAAAGCACACAACAAGAACATCCCCAGATTTAAAGCCCTCATCTTTTCATTTTTAGAGGTTTTCTGATAAAACATGTTTATTCACTTTTTAAATGTGCTTTTGTGGGCATGGCATTTCAAGATCTCATCATCACCGTGTAAGTCCCAAGATTAGTCCTTTAAAATATTTATGACAGTGATTTGTACTTTTCTATGCACTGGGCATCTTTTGACTTTTGTTGAGAAATAGATTAACAGTATTCATATTGCAGAATGGAATGCATGCTACTAACCTAATCTGTTCAAGCATGACTATAAATATGTTGCATTGTGATGATAAAAAGTTTAAATTGCTCACAATTTGAGTTAGCATACCAGTTGGAATATAGATCAGTTTTTGTTGCATACGTATTATTTCAAGTGTATATTTTTTTTAATTCAGTGGATTTTGGAAACTCTTAGAGGAAAGTAAAGGAAAAATTGTTAACACACCCACTCACCTTTACATGGTGAAGGTTCTCTCTTTATCCTACAAGCAGACATTTTCCACTGGTGTTTCCATAGCTGTTAAGTGTATCAGATGTGTTGGGCATGTGAATATTCAAGTGCCTGTGTAATAAATAAAGTATCTTTATTTCATTCATAAACTACTGGGTTCTGAGCCATTGTTATATGATATAGCTTAAATGAGTGTGTCAGTTTTTGTTTTCTCATTTAATTCCTTGCAATTTAGAGTATTTATAGTTACTGTTCCATTGCTAGGGAGAGTTGTAATGTTAGAACATTGGGGAGCAGAACAAAGTTCCATGTCAGAAACACTTGAAGATAGATGGTAAATTATTAGGAAATAAAAATATAAGCTTACATAAAAATGTAAAGAAATGATTGAGGTGGGCAACTTAAGGAGGTGCTTGCACTGCTTCCCTCTCACACATTTGACCTACTTCACAATCTCCTCGGGTTCCTGGATAAGAGAAGATAAATCCCATGAGCCCTGGCTGTGGAGATGCAGCTAAACATGATTCCGCAGCAATAATCAAAAACAGAGGAGTAAGCTTCTATCTCTCCCAACGTTCATGTGCCGTATAAAGTACTCTCCAGGAAAGAGTGGCAATGGCACTCTTGAGAAGAATCAAACCAGAGTGATTATAAAATTATCACCACCTTTAATTCAAAAGCATATGTAAGAATAAATGGTTTAAAAAACAGGGTGGTAGTGTTTGCTCCCTTAAGTCCCTTGCACTTCTGAAACACTTGATTTTATTCTATATTTGCCACAAAATTAAAATTAAGCCCTGTACCACACCCCATTGCATTTCTATCCAGAAAATTTTAAAGTTCAATATATACTTCTCTCAGTTAATTGGATATTTTTAATTGTTTCTTGAATTAACCAGGCAATTAAAGAAATAGTTTTAAAATGAAGATAGTGATGAATGTGTTCATTCAACCTAAATTATAGATGATCATGGAAGCACTTTCCCCTTTACTAGTTAGTTTACTAATAGTTTCCAAAAATACTTAAAATTCCACCTCTCACCTTTTCTGTCATCAAAGAATTTCAGTTGATTTCTTAATTTTATTCATTTCCTTAATTGAAATATTCTGTAATTATAAATGTCACCATGTCAAAATCTTCCTTTAGTTCACACTCTGTTTTTAATTATCATGATTTTTGAGCATTACTATAAAATCTAAGGAGTTCTCATGGCACAATAGTGAAGCTGCCAACTGAAAGGTCAGTAATTTGAACCCACCATCTGCTCCGTGAGAGAAAAGGTCTGGCTATCTGCTCCATAAAGATTTAAGAAACCAAGTGGGGCAGTGCTGCTCTGTCAGGTGGTGTCACTGTAAGTCAGAATCGACCCAAAGGCACAAAGCAATAAAGAAAATATTTTTGCGTGTTTTTATTCTAGATGAAGTTCTTTCTTAGAATTTGTATCAAAATGTTATAAATGACTTTCTCTGAAGAATACTTTAATTGGCTTTTGGAGATATATAAAAGTATCTTTGATGTTGATTCTTGGAATCATTCTTTATTGAAATCACAATGAAAAGGAAAACTAGATAATATAACATGCTTTCTTATTTAAATTTGTTATAATAGATGACAAATAAAATGCCATCTTTTTCCATAATATAAATATTTCCCAGTTACTGTAGATCTACCAAGAATATAATTCAACCATGCATGTTGGCAAAAAACTTAATAGTGAACATGCTATAGAATTAAATTGATATAAAAGGAATACTTTGTCTATAGCTTAGAGAGGAAAGCTGGTAAAAGATATAAACATATAAAGATCAGCAAGTTCCTATTCACTAACTTCAGAGGTGTTAATAATTTTAAGTGTTTAGATACAAGTTTTCCATTTAAAACCTCAAAATAAATTTCATATAATCCATCTGCCTTTTGAAAATAATACCTTGCATTTGAACAGTTCTTCATATTGTACAGAGTGTTTTGTCATCCATTTTCTCATTTTATCACACCGAGTGGATGAGGTAGTTATTGCAAAAATACATTCTTATACCTGTTTATGGATAGCCATCTGAGTCAGAAGGGTAAGATGACTGATAGAGGAACATGCAACTAAAAATTTTCACAACCATCAATATAACCATTGTCTTGTGACTCCTTGACCTATTTTTTTTTTTTTTTTTTTTTGGAAATACATTGGCTCCTTTGAAATCAAACTCTGATTCCAATAAAAACAATGGGCATTTATTTATTTTTCTTTATCATTCATGTCCTTACACACATGATCAGTGGTGGCTAGAAATGAAAACATAATACCATGTAGAGTTGCTGGATTCTCTCTCCTTTCTGACAGCTGGTAATTAACCTGCCACAAACCGACAAAGGGAAACCTTCCCAGTGCACAAGCCCAATGTAGCAGGAAGTAGGGCCGATAGAGGAAAGTGTACGTCTGTATGCGTTCCCATCAAGGGGGACAAAATTGCCTCAAAAGAGCTATTCAGACATTTTTGTAAGCTTTTCAGCAGATTTCTACTTGGACCAGCATAAAATATGGGTCAGGTGAGAATTATGAAGCTAGCTAAAAGTCACTTTTTTTACTCCCTCTGGGGTTTAGTTGCATGCTAGGGAATCTGAAGGGAAAGATTAGACAGATTGTGCCACCTCATCCTGATATCGAAACAACTCTGTTTGTGCTTAGAAATCCCTGGAAATTTTTGATTGAACACAGGCCCTGCCCTTCCAGAAGGTAATACCACCAGGGAAAAAAAGACATTTTAGAAAGTAAATGTTTAGGGAAAACCATACCAAAACCAAAATTATTTGAAGCATTCTTAAAACCCTGAAGATTAAGTTAATTGACATTGAATATACTAAATAAATGTTAAGTACATTTTGAAAAATTCTGAGCTTTTCTTTTTTTTCTTGATGCTAAGATTTTAGATGTCGGTTTTAAATTTAGAAACAGGTACTATAGAACAGATTGAAATATCCCTGCACCTTGGGCAAAAATAAAAGAGTAGTTGGGGAGGTTGGGTGAAAAAAAATGAATCAAAAAATGAGTTCTATGAGGCAATCATGGCCGTGGCATGCCCAGATTGTAGGAGAAAAGCCTGCAGTTACTGCCACAGACC